ACGAAAATAGCAACCCAGTGTGTTATACACACAAAATGTATGAGAAGAGAACGCTTGATCTCCCGGGTTGATCTCCATAGACCAAAAATGCCAGTCATACAATTCCATAAACAAAATCTATGAAAAATGTTGTTCATACAAATTTCATAAATTTTGCTTTTATGGTGTCATCAAATTTCTAAAGATTTTTTTCTTGTTTTGGCATACAAACTTGTGTATTGTAGTAAATAAAAAAGATTTTTTTTGTCAAAAAAAAAACGCTAGTCATACAGTTTCCATATATGCAAATTGTATGACTAGCTTTTTTTTGATGGCGACAACAAATATTTTTCCAATTAAATTCGCCTGAAAATTTTTTTTGTGTTTTTTCAACAGCAATTTGTATTTTGTAAACAAACAAACTTTTTTCAAAAAAATTTTGAAATTGCACCGCAGAACGAAAAGAACTTTCCAAGTGGTTTTTAAACCGCAAAACGAATTTTGAACTCAAACAAAAAATTGCCAAAAAAATTGCCTGCAAAGTTTATTATTTTGTGTGCATAACGTAGTCAGGGATACTCAAAACGTAGTTTGTGATACACAAGATTTTCTTCACTTTCTCTGGATATTTTTTTTAAAAATCGCTCAAAACTCATATTTGTTTGTATTGCATGTTTAAGTTTGCCTTAATCAATGTCTGATTATTTGGAAATTCAAATTTTTTGAAAATGATCATCTTTAAAATTTTTTGCCAAAATTCATAAGTTTGATTCTTTCAGTTTATCGTTTGTGTAAGGCAACTCTCAGACAATTCAGATTGTTTCCAACACATTGTAAATGCAAGACAATCAAAACTTTGCCGATTCTAGATTTAAGTAAGCTATGGTTTGTGTCACTTGTGGTTGGTTACGACCATATCCCAAAAGTTTTGAGAGTTTAAAATTTAAAGAAATCCAAATTTGTTGGTTTGTGGAAAAACGCTAGTCATTCAATTTCCAAAGCTGAAAAATCACAAATCATAGACTTTTCATGCAATTTTTGTACTAATGGATTTGCATAAGAAGTGTATGACTAGCAGTTTTGGTCAACTCGGGCCGCTGCCTTTACATTCAACTGAAAAGCTATAATTCAAATTTTTTGGATGATAGCATGCATGACTGATACATTATATCTTTTCCCCATTAGCATTATGCCGAGATTATATGACCCGGGTGGGTAAAAATAGATCTGCACCCGATCGAGAACTTGTCCGAAATTATATGTCATGGTTCGTTAATTTTTTTTCCTCGTTAAATTTCGAACCGCTAAATGATTACAAATAAGAGATTTATTGAAACAGTTTGAAAGTTTATGGTTCGGAATATTTTGTTCAAAGTGCACAGATTATAACCATAATCTGAAAACTTTTACACGCAAAAATTTTGAAAAACTTTCAAAGACTCCAAGAAGGGGGAGGGGGGGGGGGGGCATTCGCTGCTAGTTAACCAATAAGAGCGGAGGATTGGGTAAATAGTAAAAGACATTGCAAATTGGGACCGCTGACCTCTGAGGGGTATTTTGATCTCCTGTTCTGTGTTGGTCTTCAGACTGGCCAGTGACGTCACAGCGAAGCACATCAACTCATCTTTGGTGAGTGTGTTTTTGTCCCAGATGGTGAAAGTGATGTCAACTGTGTCCTCTGAACACTTGAAGTTGAATGACTCATTCCACACAGGGTCCAGATTGTTGTCTATCGTCTAAATAGAGACAAATTTGGAAACTTCAAAAATGTTCACATACTTAATTTCGAAAAAGAACACTGGCAATGTCTATCGTCTAAATAGAGATCAAATTTCTGTTTTTGTTCCGACTTTCGTAAAGAAAGTAACGGAATATTTATGCTCGGGGTGTTGTTTTTTCTTCAGAAAAATTTCCACTTTTTAACTAGCCATTTTTGACGTAATTTTAAAAATATCAATCAAAAGGTATTGTTGTCCTGAGCTTAAAATTGAAAAATATATATTTCACCGGTGATATTTTTTCGCAAATTTATGGAGGTGTAAAAATTGTCATTTCGTCCAAATTGGGACAATTAACGCGCGATATATTTCGCGCTATTAACGCGTAAACGGAGATTTAATTCATCTTAGAAATCGTTCCAAATTGGTTCAAGAAAGCTTTATGCCACGATTGATTTGTTAATAGGAGCAAAATTTATCACTTTGTACTTAATATGGCGTGTGGGGGGATGAATTTCAGAAAAAAATCTAAAATTAAAAAAAATCATTTTTATTACATTTAATTTTTTCATCTTATTACTGCTCCATAGACCTTAAGAGGCAGTCGGAACATTCAGGACCTCGCCCTGATACGAGCAGTCTTGTTTATCAATTTGCCAACGACAAAAATAGCTAGGACTTCAGCTTTTTCCTCAATACCCGAAACTCCCATCACTATGAAACTACTCGCAAACAGAACTATATTAGCAGCCCTATTCCTTTCATAAGTTTTTGATTGTTATAATTACCGCACAACCTGATAGTCAAACTCATCGACTCCGCCCTTCCGGATTCAATATACCGCTGGCCTGGCAACTATCAGAAAGAGACGTCTGAAGACAGGCAGAATTTGTCTAATGACGATCTCCCAGACTGAGTTCTATCAAGTGGTCATTTATATACTTTATATTGATCAATGTGAACCGATACTGGAAACAATTTATTATTGTTCCGACTTTCGATACGAAAGTAACGGAATATTTGTGCTCGGGGTGGGATTTTTTTTTCTTCAGACAAATTTCGACTTTTTAACTAGCCATTTTTGACGGAATTTTTCTATATCATTCAAAAGGTATTGTTGTCCTGAGCTTAAATTTGAAAAGATATTTCACCTGTGATCATTTTTTGTAAAGTTATGGGGGTTTAAAGATTGCCAATTTGGCCAATTTGGGACAATTAACGCGCGATACATTTCGCGCTATTAACGCGTAAGCGGAGATTTAATCCGTCTTAGAAATCGTTCCAAATTGGTTGGAAGAAGCTTATTTGCCATAATTGATTTGTTACAAGGAGCGAAATCTATCCCTTTGTACTTAATATGGCGTGTGGGGGGATGATTTTCGTTTAAAAAAATTCAAATTTTAGAAAAAAAATTTTTCATTTTATTTTATCACATTTTATTTTTATAGGTTATTACTGCTCCTTAAACGTTAAAAGGCAGTCGGAACATTCAGGGCTTCGCCCTGATACCAGCAGTCTTGTTATTATTACAAGCAAAAACATTATTCAGAGACAACATCATATGCTATTCCGACAAGTTCAGCGTCCATATGCAAGGCACCAAACAGAAAAGTTATCGATACTTTTTTTCAAATAACCTTGACTCCATGTTTATTTATTATTTCTATTTAAAAAAGTAAGTTGTAGCTATCCCCGTCTAAATGCTCTTTCAGTTTGTTCTCCCCCCACTTCATGAAACACAACTTCAACCCACTAACAAAAAATACCTTGCGACAACTAGACTACCACTATGAAATCATCGCAATCAATCTCAAATCAGACCTTTTTTCAAGTACTCCACCCTGCAAAAATCACTCTAAAAATGTTTAAAAAAGAAGCTCTGTAAAAAAACTTTTACAGGATCTAAGTGGCGCCTAAGTAAAGAAACTCTGCTAACCACAATCAAGACGATAATCAGACCAATCCTCGAGTACTCAGCGCCAACATTGTTGCATGCGCAAACACAACTAACGTCGAAACTACAGACAGTACAGAGCAAATAGCCCACCACATGAAGTTTTTCTCCTCGCAGAATTTTGGAAGCTGCTACGCAAACAACCATCCCGGAATTAAAATTATTGAAAGGTAACATCCCTCCCTCAGACGAGTTAAAACCTCCTTCAAACAATGCAACGCAAAGCTAGGGTCAGACCTGAACACCCCCAATTAGAAGTTAGACAAAGATTACACAAAAAGCTATCAGAAATAAGAAAACTATCCACTCGAACTGTGACCCATGACATAAACAGGTCCCTGACTTTCAAAATTTAAGCGATACGCCACCCAAATATCCCTATTGAAGCTTACAGTAAGCAGCAAGTTCCACTGGAGTCTAGCCCAGTTGAAGTCACTACGCTCTCTTGAAATCATTCCGCAACCGTTTCAATCCAACTGCCTCAGACGGATGCATTAAGTAGTTCAACTTTCCCATAACACCAACTATTTTTATTTGTCCCTATAACCCAACTCCACTAACTACTATCTCCTTTTGGTCCAGCCCCGTTGAAGAAGCAAACTTTGAAGAGGTTCTTGAACTGAAGCCAGTCTTAATCACATCGATCGAGCCTTCTCCTGATAGTCAGTTGCGACTCAACTCAACACTGGCTCATATAGCCTCGGCTGTGGAAAAAAAAACCTTTCACTTGCTAAGGTGCTCAGCAATACGGATTCAACTACATTCAGGCACCAAACCATTCTAGCGGCGAACCCAGTTACTGTACTCGAAGCCCCCCCGTCTACCCAGATGCACCCCAGGGACTGCAATGTGGGTCTGGGACGCGTGAAAACCAAAAAAAAACTTTCTATCGGGCAATCCTAAAAAGCACTGACAAGATGCCCAATTAAAGTAACAATTTTCAAATGAATGATTCATTTAAGCAAAGCCATTGCAATTGAACCATTGCCGAACCCTCGTCCAAAGTAAACGACGCGCTGCCCCGATAGAGGCAACAACCCGTGCAACCGTTCATCATAGATCAGAAAAATGCCTGTTAAAGAGTTATACTGTGAAAACCGTTTTCACATTTCACATCACGCTCGCAAATAAAAAATAAATGAGTATAAAATTTCTTGCCGGGATCTGAACCGGTAACCTTTCACTCAAAATAAGCACGAATATAACTGAGAGTAGGTGCAAGCTCTCACAGGTGATGTTTTTGAAAACGAATTCCTCATTTCTACTTTTGCACATGTGTAATGACTTTACTTAAAACAAAAAGTTTATTATGATTGATAAAAGTTCATGATGTTTATTGATATGTTTACCTTTGTTTTCTGCTCCTGGCCGCCACATTCAATGAGCACGTAAGGGTCACTCTTCGAGAACCTCTCCTTGCTCGGAAGATTCTTTGCACTCAGAACCACACACTGCAGATGCGACATCTCTCAATCTTCTTATTCTAGTTATACTGATCGACCTCTACAAAAATGACTGAGCTTAATCTAACGTTGATAACTAATTATTGTAGTTCAAAAGTATAGGTGATTCTTAAATTTCAACTAGATCAAAGTTTGAACTTTTAGAAAGTTTGCAAAAATTGATATTCGAACTCAATAATCTATAATTTGTTGAATCACCGCTGGGTTTGAAATTTTAAGATTGCTTATTTTGTTTACGAAGCCAAAACCGATCCAAAATTTGTATGATTAGTTTAACCAAATTCTAGTTTTCTATGATATTTTTTGACAGAATGGTCTATGAATTAATAGTCATTTTATGGACAGTTTGGCATTTTATGGAAAACTAGATCACAAAAAGCTTTAGATAAATGATCAAATCTTCATCAAACTCACCGCTTTGCTTCGATTAATGTCGCTAACACTGACAGTTTATACAGAAATTTTTACTGTCGACACAAATTGAATCTGACCAAACACTATGATGTTACAAAAGATGACGTAGGTTTGTTTTGATAAATTTTTTGAACTACTAACCAGGTAAATTAATCTAGCGTGAGGTGTATAATTCTAGCTTAAACTCAGTTATAAGCTGTTTGCGTCAGAGATTCGGCTTCCTTTAGAGCTTTATTTGAAGACGCTACTTCAAAGTTTGTCCTGTAAACTTTCATTGATTAGTTTCATTGACGTTGGGGCAAACATAGACAGTAGAATAAGTATACAGTCTGTAACGAGTTACTTTATATCAAAGTCGAAACTATCAAACAATTTCTCGGGAAAAAAAAAGAAACCATTTGCGAAAGAAAATTATCTGCTTAGAAATTTCATTTTTTTAAATCCAATTTGTCCGAAAAAAGCGAAAACTGGATAAAAGCTTTTGTTCAAAGCTTTCCGTATAGTTTTCAAAAAGCATACATATTCATTTTTCGACCCGACTTTTTTTAAGTTAGTTATGATTTTCTAGCGAGCTAAAATTAGCTAATCCGATCACCATCTTTACTAAAAAAAAAAGAAAAACCAATTAAATAATAAAAAACTAGCAGTAATTGTTCTGTTCATGGGCTTTTATACCCATCGACTTACTTTTCTACAGCTGTGATGTTTAACAAACCAATATTGACAGAATGGTAAGAAAATGGTAAGAGCAAAGCAGAGTAGAATAGATTTGAGGCCACGCAAGTCAAAAGAGAGAAACGGTTAAACTGAAACGCAAACTGAGATCATGAGTAGGTCTTAAAACACACAAGAATATAATGAACTTTAATCTCGTTTTTGGTTCGTTCTTGATGAAAAGCATTTGCTCTGAGTCAGTCGTTGATTCAATGATGCTGATTAATAATGAAAAATAATGAACGTATCATTACGAATCCCTGCATGTTCAGGCGGTCCTTAAACTTTTGGAACAGTTTTGATTGCTAAGAAAAGATGAATATTTCGAAAAACAGTCTACATCATAACCCCCAACAGCTTATGTAATTTACAAATTGATGTATTTAGCGTCTGAGTGACTTTCGTTAAACCGGAAAAAATCACCTCGGTTCACCGGCGGATTTTGGAAAGCGGACGTCCCCCCCTCCCACCTCAGGGATTGCACCCCCTGCCGACCCAAAGTGTCCCCCCTTTTGTACTATTTTGAAACTTCCATTTTTGGCCAAAACAGAGTCATTATAGTGCTTCGGGATAGCTCGAAGAATCAAATCAGTCAACCTAAAAAAGGTCGACAAAATTTTCGAAAAAATTCTGAAAACCCTCCCTCCTCGTGAAAAACCTAAATTTGCCCCTGCGTCAGCTGGAACGACATCTGAGCCAGGTTTAATACCCGCTTACTCGTTCACACGTTATTACCCACACTGGAAATTCATAAACAATAATTGATTAAATTGGATTTTTATTGTCAGTATCTATATAATTTTGAAAAAATTGCATATTTACTATTAAAAATGATTATTCTCTTGACTTTTGTCATATCAATATAATCGATTTCAATATCTTATTGTTCCGACTTTCGATACGAAAGTAACGGAATATTTGTGCTCGGGGTGGGTTTTTTTCTTCAGACAAATTTCGACTTTTTAACTAGCCATTTTTGACGGATTTTTTTTATATCATTCGAAAGCCATTGTTGTCCTGAGCTTAAATTCGAAAAGATATTTCACCTGTGATCATTTTGCGTAAATTTATGAGGGTTTAAAGATTGCCATTTTGGCCATTTTGACTAATTTGGGACTATTAACGCGCGATATAATTTGCGCTATTAACGCGTAAGCGGAGATTTAATCCGTTTTATAAATCGTTCCAAATTGGTTGAACGAAGCTTATTTGCCGTACTTGATTTGTTACAAGAAACGAAATCTATCTTTTTGTACTTTATATGGCTTGTGGGGGGATGATTTTTATAAAAAAAGTTTCGAATTTAAAAAAATTTTAATTTTATAAATTTTTTATGTTATTACTGCTGCTCCATAAACCTTAAAAGGCAGTCGGAACATTCAGGGCTTCGCCCTGATACGAGCAGTCTTGTTTGTATTGTAATCCTTCTTGTTTGGAAGTTTTTCTGAATTATTCAAACCAAGTGAAGTGTTATCATAATTTATCAGTTGCTTTTGGGTTAATACACGTTACATCAGGTAAAAACAAATTCTCATAAAAACTTTAGAAAACTTCTCATAAAATCCTATCTTACCCCACCTCTCTTTTGCCCTCCTCCGCCTACTAATCCTCGTTTACATCCCAAAGTTTACACGCATCCTCCGCACCGGAGTTCCATATATAATAATCGATTATATTGAATTTCCGTATAGTCTGTCTCAATAAACTTCGATAATAACCGATTATAATCGATTAAAAATGGATTATAAGGAAACTATTTTTCTAATAATAAAAAATACGAATATAATAGATTATATTCGATTATTTTTGAAAGAAAATGAAACTTTTTTTCGAGGTAAAATAATCCATATTTAATTGATTATGATCGATTATAATGGAATTTTTCGAGGGGTTATTCATGAAAATTACAATTTTGTTCAAAATTATCTCATTTCCTGTTTAGTGCAATTGCTACGTATTACGTTTCATAAAATGTTACATTTCAGAATAAAACTTATATATGTTTTGTCTCTACTGTTTTAATTCATCACAGTTTAACTAACACTTCATTTCACTGTTTTTTTAACCACAACCCCCCTTTTTTTGTCTCTACTTGATCCCCCAGCTTACATTTTTTTTGTCTCGCTGTAATTCCACATCTCTTTCAACTTTAAGAGGAGGAGCGGCTTAGCGCATTTATATAATAGTGATTAGGTTTAAATTTCTAGTAGGTTGTGAGTATAGCGGATTATGTTAAAAATTTTGCAAATAATTTAAAATTCGATTTTAATGAAATATAACCCATTATAAAGGATTCTGATCGATTGTGTGTTGACGGAAGTAACCGATTAAAACTACCCCGTACCAAAGACCATGATTAATTTCATGTATGATCACTGTAAGTGCATTTCTAAAAATATTGCATTGGTGTACATGTCTGCTTTATATCTGGTCAGACTTGTTAAGTTAGTAAATGCATGGCGGGAGAATGTGCATGAAAAGTTAGACATTGTTCAGACTTGGACCAGACGTGTTTGAAAACAGAAGATAAAATAATTTGATTTCTCCTTTCCTCAAACTTTCTCTTAGTACTAATTTTCTTTTTAACAGATTTAGAAAGTTCTACGAGTTGCTTTCATTGATTCATTGTTTATTTTTTATTTTTCTCCATTCCTTTACGGATTCTAAGCAAATTTGTGTTGAGTTTCGGTGTCCATTGTGACTTAAATTTTTTATGATTTATTATTTAGTTTTCTCAAACGATGCTTGCACAGAAGCGGCATAACTATGCTTTAGAAGTGAGCAATCAAAAACAAAATATGCAACTGGTCTGCATCATACCTGATAAAATCATGTCAGTTTTCTGGTCTTACATGGAATTATAGTATTAATTTAACACGGGTCACCAATTTCAATTTTTCAAAAATTTGTCAAAATAGATAAATGACAATCAGTTATAATAACTAGAAATTAAAATCACTTTTCAATCATCAACACTTAGAAATGAATAAATTTGGCAAATCCAAGCAGATAGTCAAAAACTATCACATTCTGATAATTATCTAAAAGTCCAGATCGGAGCCTGTAACACAGTTTAGGTTCACACGAAATGGAGGAACATTTAATAGTATCGCATCTTCCGATATTCAAAAATTCTATTTATGAGCTGATATAAATTGATATAAAAAATATCGTTTCTATTTCTCTCTCTCTCCTTTTCTCTCCTCAGTGAATAACGATGTATATGATTGATGATTGAATACTTTGTCGCTTCGTGTTTCAGTTCATTCAAATTTTTCACGGTTAAATTAAAGAGGTCAGAACGTCAAAACTTGCTTAAGAGTGATTAACGTTTTCTGTTGTTGGCATTTGTTTTTTTTTAAATTTGCAAAAAACGATTTGCACTTTCAATCAGGTTTTTGCCTGTTTTATTGCTGAATTTTCAAACTAAAAAATCAACATACATTTTTTGATATTCCAAAGATAATAACTCTAACAAAATCAGTAATCTTGAGAAGAATTTCGCATTTCTATTTTTTTCATGGTCAAAACTGTCAACTGCTGTTAAAATCAACCAACTTGTAGAAACTGATCACCAAATTAGTCAATCACTGACAAGACTCGAGCCTACATATCTTCGAGCTAGTAGGAACTCTAAAGTACGTACACTGCTGAAACCAAGTTTAGTTTTTGTTGAAAAACGTAAGAAAATAGTCACCAAATTAAATGGAGGAAAGTGAGTTTTTTTTATTAATGGAAGAGACTGCAGCCCTTTTTTAAATCATCGTTCAACTATTTTGCTTTACCTGAAGGTCTCGTGATCACAGTTTTTGTTTTCATCACAGCTCAGTTCCAAAAAAAAGCAATAAACATTCTTCAATCCGGGTTAATTAGCAAATGACATACTCGTTATATTAAAGCGTTAGCGGCTATTCAATTCAACCATTACAAAAACCAAATTGTCTCGATACGAGCTCTATGGTTTTAATATTAGACCACAAGATATTAAACAGATGAGTTCCCGCATCCAAATTTAGGCGTAAGTAATGATTATAACGGATTATTATGATGATTTTAATTACTAAATTTAGGTGTTTAAGGGATTTATAATTGATTATAATAGTGATATTTTCCAAGAGATTATAATCCCTTATAATCGATTATAATTGGTTATAGTTCTTACTAAAAACCCTAAAAATCAATTATAATCGATTATAATTGATTATAATCGATTATAATCTCTTGTTTTGCCAAAACGTTCCCCATACTCGAATTATATGTTATGGGATATTATTTTTGTGTCAATAACAAAATCTCTAAAAGAGAGAACTCTTGAACACTTTGGTTCATCTGAACACAAAGTTTTACCACGAATTAAAAGTTTTATACAGATCCTTTCATTTTAGTGGAAAGGTTCCCGCGGTAGATGAAAAATAATTTTTCCGAATCAATCATGAAATTAAATCAACTTGCTGATGTTTTGTTTAAAAAAGCTTAAAATATGCATCACAAAACAAATTTAATGGGGAAGAAGTGAAAAAAAAACTTATAAATTTGACTTAATTGGAAAACTTTAAAAATATTTTTCTCATTTTTCATAGGAATCAACGTCCACAAAAAGCATAAAATATAAGCAATTTAGATGCAACTTCGAAGACAAAAATGACCAAACAAAAGGGATTATAATGGATTTTTGTGTTTTGTGTAAAACTAATGAAATTGAAATTTGAATAAAAATAATGGTTTATAATCAATTATAATCGATTATAATTGTATCGAAAAATAGACGAATAAATAATCGATTATAATCGATTATAATGGATTATAAGTAATTATAATTTGATTCTAAAAAGAGGGATTATAATTGATTAATAAAAGATTAAAATTGATTGTTTCTCAGTTTTAGTAAGACTGGTACTAAAATCGTAAAGTAATCGATTATTAACGCTTGAAACTTAAAGCGGGTTTGTTCCATATAAAGTATAATGTGTATTCGGTGAAGTGATAAAACCAGTCGAAAATATCCAAATCACTTGTTTCTGTCCTGAACATTTTATCAGTTTTTCTAAAATTAAAAAAGTATAGGGCAATGAAATGAGCGGTCTTGTTCTATAAGTATCTAATTTTATTCAATTCGAGGCCATTAGCGGTTGAGTAAGCTTTGCACAATTCTGGATGTTCTCATTATTGTTGTGTTTTTGAAAAATTCAAGGTTTTATTACCAATATGGTATATTTTTGTCTGATTAGTTGAAGTTACCTGATAGTTGTATTTTTAAATCTTATGTATAACATTGTTCTGATTTTGGATTTTACCTAAAAAAATCGAAAAAACAACTGCGATTAAAAGTTTTGTCAAATAAAACAGACTGATTGCATCATTACTGAAAATTGATGCTCACGACTGCCCTTCATCTATCTTAAGTAATTCCTGGTGAAAAAAAAGTAAGACAAGAAATTTTTATCGTTTATCTTAAAGATTCTACCACTCCTCGATTATAAAATTTTCCTCTTCTATGGCAAAATTTCTGGACTCATGAAATTGTCGTACTTGATTTTTCAAAATTTATGCATAGTAAATAGAAAATTGATGATTTGAAACATTTTTTGGCACATTTATTCAAATTTAAATTCAATTATCAGTGTTTTTCAAAAAAAATACTTTTGGTTGAGAGCTCATACTGCGCCTGGATGAAATTATTACACCAAATTGAGCGCAATGATTATCTGGTAAAATATTGAAAGTACTAAATTGCTTATTGGTAGTTGACTATTTTAAAACTGTTCTCGATTGTATTTTTAATCCACTTATAGAAAAATGGTATGCTCATAAAGTAAATTTCCATCTCGCGGTCCACTGATCGTTTCAGTCTGTGACTCGCAACCCCATACAGACACTGTACCCTCTGAGGCTCACACCAGCTATGTCCCATTAGGTAGAGCGGGGAACCACTGTCACCTGGAAAAAATCGAGAGACAATTAAGGGAAGTAAGTTTGAGTTAACTGTCCATGAAAGTAAGTTTGAAATGTAAGTAAGCTTAAACGATCTGTCCATTTAATTACACAATCAACAATAGGCCAAGCTTACAATTTTACAGAGTTCACAAAGTAGAATTTTACAAAGTAGAATTCAAACTTTTTTTGAAGAAAATGTGAATACTCATTCTTGCTGTTTTTTTATCAGTTTCAGTCAGCTTTTATTCTACAAAAAATAAAGAACAAAAAACAAACTGAAAAAGCGATCAAAGTTCTGTGCTATTTTCAACATATTTAAAATGATCAGTCCACTTTCAGGCCGCATACATTTATGAAAACCGCACATCACGCAAACTAGAATAAACAAGGTTAGGCCACAAAAAATATCATGTAAACCGACTCTTAGTATGGCTGGCATCGTTAACAAATGAACTTGTACGCTGTTTTTGTTGATAACAGAACACATTTATTGGAAAGAATAGTCTTTATAATCAGGCATAGACAAAGAGCACAGATCCTGTGACTGTATTCTTAACAACTTCCAAAAATAGTCTACTTTTTTCAAATTTTTGTCGTTTTTTTTTGTGATGAGAAAACTATACAAACGCGTAGAATTTTATTAATCTGGAGACAATCGAAACAGGAAACTTTTTGTCAATCAGCCATTCAAAGCTAACTTTTCTGGAGATTTTTCTGGAGATAAATATTTTTTTTTTTCATGAGACAGACTTACTCGATTGCATTACTTGCTCGAAATTAAACTGAAACTCAGCTCAAAACTTTGAACCAGTTTTTCTCATCATTGGGAAAGTTTCTGGAAAATTTTCTCATCATTGGAAAAACTTGTGTTTTTCCCCTTCCGAAAACAATTTGTGGCACCTGATTTTGCGTGAAGAAATGAAATTAAAAGAAAATAACTAGTCAAAAGTCCTTGGAACTCTAATGGTTAAACTTGCGATCAATTACGCCGGATAAACTCATGGATGTTCTATTTTAGCTATCGAAGTTTTAAAATGTAGTCGCTTGACTGGATTGTTCTCCATTTCGAAGTTTTCAAGTTTTCGGAGTGACTAGCAATTTTATTGTGTAAGAGACTTATTTTGCGCGTATATGACCATGAACCCTATTTTTATTCAGCTGTGATTCGGGTTCTAAAAGATATAAAAGTTGTTATTTAAAAAATTGCTCTGATTTTTTTTTGTTTTTAGAGAAAATCTTCTGATTTTGCTTTTAATGATGCCCGACCAAATGATATAAGATCATGTTTTTTTTCTTTTAAACTTTTTCCTTTTTTAATTGTTTTTATTGAAAAACCAACAAAAACAACGAACAATCGAAAACAATTAGAGACAACAAAAGGCTCGATTTTTTTGGAATTGTAGAAAAAAGTGTTTAAGTTTTGATTGTTTTATTTTAAACACTTGTGATTAAACAATATGTGCGCTACTTGAACAGCAATCAGCGATCTTTGCTTCTGCTTCAGATGCTAGTTTATTCAAATACACGATGAAGTGATTCAAAATATCATTTCTGATCTCAAAGAAGATCAAAAACTGCCGCGTTGTAGTCAAACTTCTGGAATTGGGAGCGAGATGGTCAAATTAAGTTATTACGCAAAAAACTCACTTTTTGTACATCAGTTGCGGATTTAGGGTAACGCCGTTCCCTCTACCGGGATTTGACCCCCTAACCACTAAAAGTCTTTTCTTGGTACTGTTTTAGGACATATATATTCGGCCGACTCTTTCTTGAACTTCTCTATAGCGCTTTCGGGGTGGGGGAAGGGATGGGAAGACCGCAAAAAATTGGCTATCATGAGCTGATTACAGTTGGTATAGACAACCTTATTTTATTGATTGACAAATGTTGGTTATTTTCAAAACTTGTGTAATGTAATGGACATTACCTTGACATGGGACACTGTCTCTGATAGTGTTGTCTGTGCAAATGAACTCCTCTCTGCATTGTGCTTTTATCCATCCCGGTCGCTGCTCGAACAAGAACGTCTCCTGTAGTGTTTCCGGGCTAAAGTCAACAGAAATATAATCTTGTTGAAAATTTCTAACATATTGGTGCATAATAAGAAATTTGGAACCAGATCTAATCTAGAACTATTTATTTAATATTATTCTGAATATAATATAAAATATTGAATACTAACCAATCATACTCCATCAAACTAACAATCCACTTATTTGTAAGTGCTGAAACTCTTTGTAGTTTCAGCACCAGAGAGATTTGAATTAAACTTAGAATATAGTTGCCTTTTCTAAAGAGACCGACTCGTATAAACCAGTATACACTAGATCTATTGAGACTAGGAGATAAAAGAGTAAGATTAAGATTGGTATTAGACTAAGGAGTTGCACGAATCTATCCGGCCGAAAATAAGCGTGACGAGCAGACGGTATACCTTATCTGAAATTACTCTATAAGTATTACCAAAAAGGTCTTAACTCATCTGGTGCGACCGAAAGTCTCGAACAAGACCCTAACCAACTTAGATTAGAAACAATAACTATAACATTAGATTAGAATTAGACAAATACAGCATTTTAAAAATATTATATGACAAAAATTTAGTAGAAATGTCTCTAAGACTCAATAGATTATCGCCAATTTTCCAAACAATACGAGAAGTTCCCGGTATTGGAAGAAAACCTCGGACAAAGTACGACATGCGATTAGGAAGAAAGCTACCAATCGATTTCATGATTGTGCGACAAAAACCAGATCAAACTTTTTTTATTTAGAATACTTCCAGCAGTAAATTTAAATTTTCATTTACTGACATAAAATTTTGAAGAAAAAACTTCAATAACCTTTAATGGCGCTAAACTTAATAATTATACAATAACGACCGATAAAAACAACACTAGTCGTTCTCTTCGAAAAATCTGCAGTAAATTAAAAACATCTTGGAAAAAATATTCATTGAAAATAAAAATACAAAAATTAGTTAGTTCAAAGCATAAATTGTTGGTATATATAAATCATTCTTCCATCACATAAATCATTCCTCATCACCTAAAATCAAAACAGCAAATCTAAAAAACTAACAAACATCAAAACTAAAATCTAAACCCTTTTTTAACTTATCCTTTTATCAAAAAAAAATTATCAAGGCTTGTCCTTGTTTTCACTTAAATTAATTTCATTTAAAAAAACAGATCATCAAGGCTTCCCTTGGACCTTTATATTAAATTAAATTAAATCTTAACTTCTGATCATCAAGGCGTATCCTTGGATCAAATAGAACAATTTTGTTATTCCCCTCCCAAATCAGTTAGTGTCTAACGACCTCAAACGTCAATTCACTACCCAACCCTTATTAATGACCCAGATTTAACAGATATTTTTAAAAAAACTAACCATTCTAATTAAGATAAACAGTGAAGATTTTCGGTTACTCAGCCTTCATTTGATTCCCTTCCTCTTGAACGACCCAGGCTAAAACACTTAAACTCAGTAAATCATAAAATAGTATCTAACGAACTACTTGCGTATTAATTATACCTGAACCTTTTGGATCGATTTAATATTCTCCAACCCTTGATCACAAATCACAACCCCTAAGCAAGTTTAGGTAAGTCTATCTTAACTTAGATTTATCACGAGAAAGTAAAAATCATTCTGACGAATCGTTATATGCTTTTCTCTCCAACCCGACAATTTACGCCCCAAGTTAAGCTAACCACAAAAACGTGTAAGAACTAGCAGCTTAAGACATGAAAAATTACTAACCCCAATATTGCATCCATCATCCTAAACTTTATGTCAAGAGATAATTTAGGAAACAAACAAACAATTATATTTTACAACTGTAAATTTAACGACGACAGATACGACCTCATAATCACACCACACAGAGAAACAATAGGATACATAATAACAAAAATACAAACACTAAGAAACAAAAGTAACCACAAACAAAACAAATTATTAGGAAACGATTTTCAAAAAGAAGAAACGCAGTCTCAGAATCGGAAACGAGCGCAATACAAGAACTCCACACTTTAAAAGACTCAATAAACAAAAAAATCATCAAATTGACAATCAAATATTATTTTCTGACTCAAAAATGACATCACCAGCGTCAAAAAAAAAATGTAGAATAAAAAAGTCATACATAAACAAACTAATACGTCTGTACAATTGGAATCAACCAATAAGACACATTGAAAACTACACGCTAACAGTAATAAAACACAAAAAGGATTCGAAATGAAGAAAACCTTGAAGAAAGTTCCACATTAACATTTTTAAACATCCACAAGCTAAAGCTCAAGGACAAGTACAATTTTGCCAAAATTTAATCGTAATTTTTTTTTTCGAAAAAGGAGATAGTCCAAGCACAAACAAACTTCCCGATGTGAAAACAAAAAGACAACTTCTTGACCACATGCCAAGAAAGCCATATGTAGTCTTACATCACAATATGGAATCTACACAATAGAAACCAACTCACCAAACGCATTTCATGACAAATATCTCCTTCAAACTGATGACGTAGATTTTGAGTTTTTAGAGAATACATAAAAAATATACAACATCAAATATCACATAGCGCAAATTCAAAATTCACAAACGATTATTTTCGCTTGTCTATAGCTATTTATCGATATTATAATTGAAAGAACTTCAAGGCAATTCACCAACTCAAACATCCCGACATACAACCGTACGACATGAAATATCAAGCTAAACAGATATATCAAGCTAAACAATTAGCACAATCTCTATTCACAAAGATTATGTTACAGTATACTCACTTACAATTGACGCAACGCCTTTAAACTTTAGTTCATTTTTTCCTGAAAGAGCAGGAAATAAGAGTTTGAACTCTACTTTCATAAATCATGTAAACTTAAAAGGAACAAGAAATCTTAAACAACAAGATATACAAACTCCATCACATTTCATAAATGAAGAAATTGTTGAAACAATAACAACAACAGCACATAAAAGCATTCCACCTATCCAACCAAATTTTACAACTCCGAAAACAAAAAAACCCAACCTTACAACAAACAACTACCCAATCCATGGTACAACCTTTTGTAGCTCAAAAATACTCACAAATGGTTTACTAAACGTTTCGACCAGTCACAAAGCCATCATATAAGCAAAAAACATCACATAAAAATAATTTCGCAGAACATGATTATAATTATGTAAATAGATCAAAACCAATAAAACTTTCTAATATGAATATTCAGAACTACTCATATTCAAAAGTCAAAATATACCAATACCAACTCCAAACTCAGTAAATTTTAATGACCAACCACAATCTTCACACAATCGAAGTGAAAATTACCCATTCTTTCATCAAAACAAAAATAATACAAATAGATACTATATTAGAAATCAACCCCCTTATTATACAGCTAAATATTTTCCATGAGATGACGAGGAATATTATAATAAAAATCATCAATGATTCTATTCAAGCCAAAGACCTCGTTCTTACAGCTGTGATCAACCAGATACTTTTGAACCATATACACGAGATGAACAAATACGACAACATAGAAATAATCATACTAATAATAATTTTCAACCACAAAATCCAGTCAACACACAATCTCACCAACCAACTCAAATACATAAGGAAAAGTCACTGCCGTATTATTTACAACAACATGAAATAACAAAAAGTCAACTTACAAACTTTTCTCAAATACCAAATGCCGCAGAATCACTACAAATGACTATGAATCCATACTAATGGGTGGATCATCAATATCATCGAATAAGCCACTAGGGATATTCACAGGCACAGATCCTGAAAACTCTGTAGAAGATTATCTGAATGCAGTCACATCAAATTTAATTTTAAATATAGGACCTGAACCAGTAAATAGGCCGCTTCATCAAAATTTGATACATAGACGAACAGCCTTAATCCAAACCACACTTGACGGCGCAGCTCAAAAAAATGTTTTTCAGTTTTACCTGTAAAAATAAAATCAGATTGGAAAAGATTCACACAAGATTTTTTTTTAATGTTTGATTCTGAAAGAAACAAACAACATCAAAGAGTTTTATGCAAGGAAAATCGTAGACTACTCAATAAAACAATTAAACAACTTACAGTAAGAATTGAAACAGTAGTCCAAAAAGCAAATTTACTCAATATCCATGATTATAAAAAGACGAAGATGACAGAAATCTTAATGATGACCTTAACACCTCAATCACGAAAAACAGCAATGAAAAAGGGAGCATCACATCCTTCCTCAATCCAAGAACCAGATTGAGACTTTAGGAAACTAGTAGATAAAGTAGAGCAAGCCGAAGTCACTATGAAATTATAAGAAACAGAAAACCTAAAGCTAGAAATTGTCAACAACATCCAAATCACTACTTCGCAAATAAAATATATTCATGACTCCGATACAGAATTATCTGAACAAATCACTGAAATCTTAAACATCTACGAGAAAAACCCATATTTTATAGGTAAACCATCATTCAAAAAACGGTGCGAAATTGCCCAAGGTACGGACACAGCGTTGCCAAATGGAGACAAAACAACAAGCTAATCAAAATAAACCACAAAAATATAATCAAAATAAACCACAACAAAAATTTCCATAAAAATAATAGTTCAGAAAAACCCACTCACAATTAACTCAATTTACTCTAGGCAGAAATCACTTTACAATTCAAACTATCGAAGACGATCACCAAACCAAAGAAATTCACGAAATTTCTCACAAAACAGATATTGTCGATCAATAATTAATCAGTATCGAAATTACTATTCAAGATCAAATTCAAACCGACCTGAGTTTTCGTTTGATACCAGTTTCCATTCAAAATCTCGAAATAAAAACTATTCAAATGATCGATCTAGAAACTCTTCATATGATAGACACAGAAATTATATCAACGATAGGAATAGAAACCATTCAAATGATCAAAATTATATGAAAAAACAATAGATCTAAACATTTAAGGCAAATCAATCAAGTACAAACGACTGAAGAAACTCAACCAGACCCACCTGGTATTGATAT